GTTTGTATATTTTGTTATGCATGTAATTACTAAATGTATGGAATGATTAATGACATCATTATGTGATAATAAATGGATATGATAATAATGTGTTACAAATAATAATGATACTAGTGTATCATAATATGTTTTGATACAATGATGTCAGTTTTTTATATGATACTAATGAGTCGCAGAATTTAGTGATACATTGGTGTCACTCTTTGATGACACTTCCCCGTGACACTAAATTTAGTGTCACCATTTCCGACCTACTGCGACGAATGTTACGTGTCTCGAAAACTTTCTGTGACACAAAAAGAATGTCACTATAAGGCCTTTTTCTAGTAGTGGTAGATGTTAGACTTGATTTTTTTCGTTCCTCTTCATGATCAGCTCTTTAATATCATCCCAGACCAGGGAGACGTAGTCATAGTCCTTGTTGAACGTTATGCCATGGAAGATCATCAGAATGTAGATGTTGCACTTGTCAAAACCAGAGTGCTTGGCAGTGAGGCACTTGTTTAGTGTTGCTAGCAAAGTCCTCCATGGTCTTGGTAGTCTCCCCGTGTTAACTTGGGAGATCAGCTTTATTGGCATAACATGGCCCAACGTTATCATGTCAGCCATGGTCTGCTCTTCACTAGCCAGTTCATCATAATGAGCCTGGGCCAGAAGCACAACAACGTGTCCCCAAGAAAACACCCATCGGGAGGCACCAACAACGTGTCCCCGGGACCTGGCTCCACCACTAACACGCATAAGACTTGACGTAAAATTGCATCATGTGACAATCCACCTCATCTGCCCTCCTCCTCAGAGCGCAGTGTGTTGATAAATGAATGCCCTTCGGAAATGCTAACGGGTCAGAAAGGTTTCTCAGTGACCTTTTCCCCTTTCTTTCCCATAACTGCTGGCAGGGGCTTCAGGCACGGTAATTGGGAAGAGGGACCAACTTCATCGTTTCCCCTTGGCGGTGCATCGGTGTGGGAACGAAGACGTTCTTTTTCGGCCTCCTCTTCCTCAATTTGAACGGCCTCTTCCATTTCCTCATCCTCCAGTTCCTGCACATAGCCTTCGACTTCTACTTACCGCAGTGAATTCATATACGAAGAGCCTTCGGCATAAACCTCCGACACCAGTCACCACCGTCAGGAAGAGGATCACTTTCATAATCCCGATCTCATCCTTTTCACCAAGGAGCCAATAGCGGAGAAACCCCAGTTTCACTAGTTCATCCGGGACCGTTGAATCCTTGATCGTGGTCAACTCCTCCACGACAAATTCTTGCCCCTCCTTCTCAAGGGCGGCACTCCCCACCTTTGTATGCCACTGAAAGCTGTCACGAGGGGGCCCTGGGAAAGGGGTTTTAGCCATCTGTATAGCAGAAGTGGTCCTCTAACCCTTATAGGACGAATGCACCTCCTTGAACAACCTCCACTCCGGGACCTGTTGCAGATTGGCAAAGCCCTCGCTATTTGTGTGCCCCCTACGGTAGAGCTTAAAGCACAAGAAGAACAGATAGTGGCAGGAACCCGAATATGTGAGAATGACTGTTGGGGGTCAGTTGTCATTGCACCAAATTTACGAACCCCATATACTTCAATAAAAACGGATGCAGTGAGAACCGAAGGCCCATCGTCACCAAAAGCACATGGACCGCAAAAACACCCATCGGGAGGCGCCAACAACGTGCCCCAAGGACTTGGCTCAGGGAAGAGGATCGCTTTCATAATCCCGATCTCATCCTTTTCACCAAGGAGCCAATAACGGAAAAAAACTAGTTTCACTAGTTCGTCCGGGACCGTTGAATCCTTGATCGCGGTCAACTCCTCCACGACAAATTCTTGCCCCTCCTTCTCAATGGCGGCGCTCCCCACCTTTGTATGCCACTGAAAGCTGTCACGAGGGGGCCTTGGGAAAGGGGTTTTAGCCATCTGTATAGCAGAAGTTGTCCTCTAACCCTTATAGGACGAATGCACCTCCTTGAACAACCTCCATTTCGGGACCTGTTGCAGATTCGCAAAGCCCTCGCTATCCACGGTAGAGGTTAAAGCACAAGAAGAACAGATAGTGGCAGGAACCCGAATATGTGAGAATGACTGTTAGGGGTCAGTTTTCATTGCACCAAACTTATGAACCACATATACTTCAATAAAAACGGATGCAGTGAGAACCGAAGGCCCATCATCACCAAAAGCACATGGACCGCAAAAACACCCATCGGGAGGCGCCAACAACGTGCCCCAAGGACTTGGCTCCATCATCAACGCATAAGGCTCGACGTAAAACTGCATTGTGTGATAATCCGCCTCATTCACCCTTGTCCTCAGAGCTAAGGACACATTGTGTTGATAAATGAATGCTCTTCGGGAATGCCAACGAGCCAGCAAGGTTTCTCAGTGACTTTTTCCCCTTTCTTTCCCCTAACTGCTGACAGGGGCTTCAGGCACGGTAATTGGGAAGAGGGACCAACTGCACCGTTCCTCCTTGGCGATGCATTGGTGTGGGAACATAGACGTTCTTTTTAGCCCCCTCTTTCTCAATTTGGACGGCCTCAGTCATTTCCTCATCGTTCAGTTCATTCACAAAGCCTCTGGCTTCTACTTCAGCACGAAGGTGGCCATCTAGCTCTCGAGCAACTTCAGAATCTCCCCCTACCGATGGTTGTGGGCTCATAGACCTCGAATCCGACCAACTCTCGAACTGTACTGACGACGACACAGATATATTATGAGAATCACTTTGAGACGACATTGCTTCATAGCAACTGAGAAATTACACACGACCCTAAGGGTGAGAACTACTAACACTAAATCTAAGACTAAAGAAGCAAAGTATGAGAGAAATGACAAGAACAAATGAAGAACTGACCTTAGAAGATTGTTTTGAATCGATGAAGAGTTTATCTCTCTAAAGTCGGGCATAGCTTCAATTCAGAAAATAGAAAATGCCAGAGCAAAATGACTCTGGACCAAAGGTATTTATAGCGAACTTAACCATGGTTGACCTCAAAACTACCCCTCTAGTAAAACAACCATCATTACAAAGCGTCGGGCCAGACTAATAAAAAACCCTGCCCACAGTGGCCCTATCCACATCCAACATGTGGCATCTCCTCTAACGATAACCCACTAACAATCATTTCGATCACTAACACATCAGCTTCCATTCAAATTCACCTCTGGTCACTGACATCACAGCTAACAGGCCCCGAAGATTTTCAAATACGTTTTCCCAAGAGCCCTTGGCAACTACTTCCATTAGGACCAATCAGAATCGCCACACAAATGCCTATGGCCTCTACACCGACACACAAACACCATGGGCCCCATAATATAATGCGACGAAACAGGCTACAACACACAATGGAAAAAGGTACAATAAAGTCTTCGAGTTAGTACAACTACTCAACCCCTTCTGCCCGAATTGCCTTCGGCCATAAGGAGTGGGGGGACTGAGGGACTACCATCAGTCTTTTTTAAAACAAAATATCGAGAATCAAATCATGACAAAGATGTATTCGGAAACTTAACAAAACTACTCCCCTTTACTTCGAGCAGCTATCGGCAAAGGGGGTGGGGGACTCCTGGTGGATCTTATGGCCCAGGACCACCGATCAACATACTCCCGCAAGCTCAACAGGCCCAACAACCACGACTGACCCTACACAGCAAATGGACACCCCTCAGGCCCAAGGTCGAGGGCTTCGAGAGAGAACAATCACTGAAAGACCGCCTCACTTATACCACTAGATCATTCCCGTCTCGGGTTGATCCCTCGGGAAATCGCCATCGGCCTCAACTCATAGAGCTTTTGGTCTCGCGCTTCTCAGTGCCAACCACCACATTTAATGTTGTGCCACATGTCTACATCCGCGCCACATCAGTGCTCTCCGTCATAGACTAGCTTACACGTGTATGTGCATTTGATGCATTTGACATTTATGACTAATATAATACAACTAAATAGCTCTCAGAGGAAATATGAGCGCATTGACAGCCCATTGAGTAGTTGTCACAATTCAAATATTGATTAATACGTTTGCTCTCTCTCTCTCTCTCTGATTCAATAGCTCTTCCTTCTCTCTACATACCACTAGTGGTATCCCGATGTTGGTTATGTATCACCATCATTCATGCAAGTGATTAAAAATCAAGATTTGTTATGATTAAATAGCTCTCACAAGAAACATGAATCGGCCCTAGGGAAACCCTAGGCGGCGAGCCCCTGGACAATCTAACCCTATGGCTTCTTCTCTCAAATTAACAAGAGTTTTGATGAATCTAAGGTTTTTTATGTTGTCTCTCTTATTTAATCTCTATCTTATAGGATCCTGGTTTTGGTACGACATCTTCTTTGACCGAGAGTTATGTCCGCTTCAAGTGAGCGCGCATTTTGTTCTTTTCCTAGAAATGTCTGGAGGTCCTGTCTTCCTCGTCGGTGTAACCGATCGAGTGGTTAATTATTCATGGTTGGAAAACAGGTTCAACCTAATTCTTCCGAAGCTTCAATTACTCGCCTTCCTCCTCCTTATGAACCACCACCTCATTCGAAGAAAAAGATAGCGCTCAATTGAATCTTCTTTTCAGTGATTGGTCAAACTGATGATCCGGACAATGTTTGCTCATTTGAGCTTCATTTGTTGGTTGCTGGTCAAACCAATTCTCCCTTTCCAGTGGCTGGTGAAGCCGAATCTTTTAGTTGTAATTTTTATTTTTTCTTTGAATAGCAAGAAGAGCAGCAAAACTGTTAGACTAGACTAATTATTGCATGATTAACGATATGAAAGGATTCATGAGATCCTTTCCGTTCTATGCCTTGTCTCATTGTAATCTCAAATTATTCATTCTCTTGTATCTTTACTATCTTTTAATAATAAATTAATTATTTGATTTAAAAAGAAATCAAGATTTGTTCTGGTGGAAAGAATTACGGAGTACTTGTTACTTAAGACCACCCCTCATATATATGAATAAATTCATATATACTCCCGTGAGCTTTACTTCAAATCTCATTCTACAATAGTACAATACTCCGTAATTCCCAGTTCCAATTCTTTCTACATTTTGTTTTAACTTGTAATTCTTTCTACATTTATGCACCTAAAAACTTCTATATTTCTACAATTCATTCTATACTTCGACGCAATGGCCAACTCCAATTTTTTCTACAATTACTACACCTAAAAAATTTCTTCAGGTTTTTTCCTTCGGCTCTGGTGTCATATATCCGACAATTCACCTACTTCCATATCCAGAGGTAACTCTTTTTCTGCGCTCCATTTCAATCTTCCGCTCCTTCAACTTCCAACCCTATTAAATTAAATACTCAAATAAAATTATGTATAGTTTCAATTATTAGATGTTTAAACGATTAATGAATGAATTTTAGATGGTCAAAATTTCAAGTCGGAAATACTACTCTACAGATCTTCTATTTAGCCCTATATTTCCGAGCCCTATATTTCCGAACATGTGTATGATAGAACACTTACAGATCTAATTTTCTCGTTTCAGATAAATATATTTTCTTTTTTCTACTTTTCAAATTGTGAGGTATTTATATATTTTATTTATAGCAGACTGATTCAGTTGTTTTTTTGGTATTTTCCTTCTGTGATCTGTGTTTCTGTAGTTTATTTCTTTGAAGTTAAGAGTTTATTTTACATTGGAACATCTGGAAGAATTCTTCATTTTTTGTCTGTTTCTATTTTTAGCTTAGCAAAAGAAAACTTTAGGCAAAGAAACTGGATTGCCTGTGTTAAGAATGAGAACATTTATTGTTCAAAATATAGTCAGAGCACAAGCTGTTTTCTCAAATCTCTGGGTGGGGATAAATTTGTTATTTGGAACTACAAAATAGCTATCACTATTGTTGTTATTAGTGTTTTGCAGTAGGTATTTCTCTGCACCACTCCCACTCTACATTTTATTGGACACAAGACTAACAACAAAAGCAAATTATACGGAGTATAAGTTTGACAGATACTTCGGCAATCAGCATGGTGCATTTTTACCACAGTGTCTTCTAGTACTTTTAATACTTTTTCTTCAGTTAGTTTAGTGAGAAATGATGAACTCATGAGCATGATTTATATGCATTCTTTCAGTATATGTTTCTAGAAAAAGCTGGAATATGAAATACTAGTGATTCCAAAACCCAAATTTGAAACAATGAGTCCAACTGCGTTAAAGCCATGGTCTTAGCATTTATGTTCTTCTAACAAGTTTTTGGTATCAATTATTCAATTATAAGCTTTTGGCTTTTCATCATCTTAATTCAACATGCATAAGTTTATAGCTGGTAGCAAAGTAGCTCAAGTCGGTGGTGTAGGTAAAATTGGCAGTTCATTAGTACTATAGTGATATAGTCAATAGATCCCAAATTTATTTTAGCTTTTTAAGTCCTCCTCTCTATCCTTTTCAGGATTAGCCAAAACATAATTATTTACTTTTCAGTTAGGAATAAAATTGTGATTTTCACTATTCCGTTAGTTTTAAATCTTAATGTGAACCTATACTTGTGATCTATTCTCTCTGTCCAAAATTCCTCTCACTTTGACTTGAAACTATTAGTTAAAGAGTGAAATTGTTTGGTTTATCTAGAAAAGCTTGCAACAATATTAACTAAACAATATTTTCCTCAATAGGAAATGAGAAGAAATGTTGAGGACAGCCCAAAAAAGAAAAAGACGAGAGGAGTGCATATTAGTTTGATTTTTGTATGATTGCATTTGATAACTTAGGACCTGCTTTCTTTTCCTGAAAATGATGTGATTTTTTATTATTATCTGGTCCAGATGTTTTTGCTATCTGAAATATAACATAACATCTGGGAAAATACGTTGATCTTGTTCGATTTTCTCATATTTTCTGAATATTTGTGGGCTGGTCTGGACCCTTCCAATATGGGGTCTTAATCTTTCTTATATGGGGTTTTGATTTATTAAGTTAATAATAAGTGATACGTTCAAAAAATAAGTTGAAGCAGATCACACCTTTATATCTTATTCTAAATAAATGGGACTCATGTTATGCTGGAATCTTTTTCTCTTGCAGGAAAATTGTGACACTTACTCTATAATCACAGTATGTGTTTGGTATTCATGCACAGTTGTTGACCAGTATTGCCATGCAAAACTTTGCTAACGGGGTGAGTAACAAGGAAAGCATTTGGCAATTGATGCAATGTCTGCATCTAGTAAATATGACCTTACTTCCAGTAGCCCAGATAGGATGGTATACGGATCTGGGCAGTGTAGATCCTATGGAGCAACTTTACTTGAGAAAACAGGTAACATGGACAATCCAATGAAATCTTCTCTTCCAAACATGGCAAGAAGCAGCAGTTCTGGTGCAACCCAGGGAGATGTTGTCAAATTCTTTCAGTGCTTACGTATTGATCCAAAAGCAATGGTTACTGAACACAAACTCAGACAAATAGATTTTAAGCGGCTTACAAGTCTATCACTTGGTGCACCCCTGGAAGATTCTCCATCCATGCCTTCAAAAGGAAAACCGATATCTTCTTCCTCGCCCGAGGATGTTAGACGGCTAAAGTTAAGTCTTCGAGAAAGTTGCAGCAAGGCGAGGTAGTTTTCGGAGTGTCATCTTTTCTTGGTTCTTTGTTTACTTCATGGAGTCAATTGCTGTACTTTATAATATGTACAATTGTACATTATATCAGGGAACGTGTGAAGATATTCTACGAATCTTCATCTGTCTTCAACAAATGTTTTCCTAATGTTCCGTCAAGGAAAAGATCTCGCCCAGATGTCTTATCCAATGATAGAAACAGTGCTTTGTTTTCAAATGAACGTCCAGTTTGTGGGACAAGCATTAGTAAGATGGGGATTCAAAACCTTAGCAACATCAGTGGGTTTGAAGTGGAGCAGCAAAAGTCAGATGAAAGGACAAAAACTATTATTCCAAGCAAACGTACCCGAACTTCTATGGTATCCAGTGAACTGCAAACTTGATCTATCATTCATTCAAATGTTCATACCTTGTTTCACCTTCTGTTGGATTAGACGTTTCTTGGTCAAGACTTGATATGATGATAGTTTCTTGCTGATCTATTTTCATTATCCTTTTTGTTTTTACCCCCACTTCCCGAATTTCTTCTCTGCTTGGACTTCGTTTATTATTATTTATTTATTGTGAATGGGCTTCAAAAATGATTTGTAGCTAGAGTGCCAGACTCTAGCATTGATATTGGATCTCCTTTTTGTGCCAACACTATTGGATTCTACTTTTCATTCCTAGTCATTGAATTTAAATTTTAGATCGATTCCATTTTTGATTAAGTTATTTTTCCTCTTTCGTCATTGTAGTCTAGGGCAGAAGTGGAGGGGTGGCCAACCGGGCCACGGCCCAGCCCAAAATTTAAAATTGCTTATATTTTTAATGTAAAAATTTATGTGTAAAAATTTATACTCTTACTCCTGGCTACGCTCCTGAATTCGTAGTATACTTTAAGTCCTTCAAATCTTATTTTTGAAAGGGCTGACTAATTTGTTTTGTTATTTTAGTCTGATGTACGACCGAACACTCCTGCAAGGCAATCAGGAAATCTTGATAGGGATATGGATTTACTAAGGCTTCCCAACAATAACCCTATCCAGTGCGATGATCGAACATCAACATCTCTTCCCATTGAAGGTTGGGAGAAATTAAGGATGAAGAAAAAGCGTTCTGGAATAAAGCCAGACGTTGCTGGGGGTTCTGCTGCTGCTAAAACAGTTGACGGCTATCAAGAATCAAAACATGGAGTGCAGTCACGACTTCTAACTGATGCTCGTCCAAGGTTGGGTGAAAACCAGAGCTTCAGGTAAACCTGCAACTCCTTTTACCCAGCATAGTTCCTGCCTAGTTCAGGAATGTATTCTATTTCAATTGTGAGTATCTCAATCCTTTAATTGAGAATGCATTATGTATTGAGATATGAGAACAAATAATCCCTGCTAAATCAAATACATATTAACATATATGAGTTTTGGCATGTATCATCATACAAGAATGGATATTAATTTTAGAATGGATGATTTGAATTTTGAAGAGTATTGATTTTGTTTCTAATTAAGTTACTTTTAGAGAATGGGTAGTCGTATTTGGAGCATCTCAATTTGATATGGATCCTTTCAAATGTCAAGAATGGAGTAGTTGTGTAACCTTGCTATAACAAATTGAGACAAACCCTCCTGTACAGGAATGTATTATGTGTTATTAGAGTTTTGATGATTTCAGCTTGATTAAGCTTTTCATTTTCCATCCCCACCAACAAAAAATCAATTTAGCCATTCACATGAACAACTATGAAAAGAAAGCCAGCTATGATGTAAAAAGTGTATGCAATATGGAATTGATCATTTGAGAAAATGGAAAAGATGCCTCTCAGACTTCTCTTATATTCTATGCATGCCTCAACTTGGGCTCCAGTGCATTGCGTAGGCCTGTGGAGTACGATGAGGAACCTGTAGAATTGATGGATGGCTGCTACAAAAAGTGTGTTTTTGGTTTGACGAGTGGCTGCTGAGTGGTCTTAATTGTGTATATGCTATTCTTTTTAATCCTGCATGGATTTTTTGGATTATATTAAGTGTAAAATGTAAAATGGTTTGATGCTGATAGAGAACTCCAGAAATCTGTCGGTAACTTACGAAGGAAAGTGAAGCAACATAAACGGAATTACAGATGAGGCAAGTTCGAGAGTGCCTCTTCTCTCCCAAGTCCCTGTCCCATTCCAAGTTCTCCTGCATTTTCCCCTTACCCACATATTATTATAATACTCTCCTTATGGGCTGGCCCTCAGCCCTAAGTTATTGGGCCTAGAACTCTGTTATTGTACAATATCCAATACTTAATATTATTCTTATTACTAGTACTATCATCACTCCCCCCTTGACAACCACCTTGCCTGCCCTCAAGGCGAGGATTAAGAAACAGTTATGTTATTCAGCTTCATCCTCGCACCTCTTCCTTCCCAATACCTCCCTGGTTGGCGGTTGCTGGATGATAGGATCCTGCGCTATTGAGTAATAAGAGTCTTATTAAGTAATTTTAATAGTGTCAATAACAGGGTTTTAGGCCCTATAACTTAATAGAAGTGGGCTGGCCCATTAGAAATAGAATAAATAAGGGGGAGGGGTGAGTAGATGGGCAGGCAGAATTTGGATAGGAATTAGGCCCTATAACTTAATAGAGGTGGGCTGGCCCATTAGAAATAGAATAAATAAGGGGGAGGGGTGAGTAGATGGGCAGGCAGAATTTGGATAGGAATTAGGCCCTGGGAGTGTTGAGACGACTCGAACAGTCTCTACTGTATCTTTCTCGCTTCAGTTTATCAATTCTACGTCAATTTTGCATCTCTTCGATTCCTGGTTCTATCATTGGTATCAGAGCCACGATCATTGCACCTGTGCATGTGTTACGGGCAGCTTGTGTGCAAGATCTCGTCACAGGCCTTCGGGTGAGTGGGAGGGTAGACTGAGCTTTGGAAGGGTTGGCTATGTTTACTGTTTGGGCAGAAAACTAAGAAGAATATAATTATGCAAACTTTTATCAAGTTGGAATTTTTTGTTGAGAATTCCAGAAACTCCCTCAGACTTTTCTTGCTAAAAACTTGCATGCTTTTTCCCTGCATTCAACTGGCCTTTAAATAGGCTTTACAGAGCTTGGAAAATAAAATAAAGAAAACAATTAAACAGAAAACAATAATTCAAAGATTGCAATCAGAAAATGATATCTCAAATCTCTAAGGATCTCAAATCCCTGACAGTGACATGTCTATCAGATTTGTCTGATTTATTTGTCTCCCAGATTTGTTTGATTTTATTTGTCTTCCAAATCAGTTTGATTTGCCATTGTGATTTGCTGACTTTTATCTTTCTTTCTTTTACGGTGATACTGACGCCCTGTGAATGCATCATTACTCCCTTCGTTGAGATCAAGCTTGTCCTCAAGCTTGAAGGTAGGAAAGTGAAGATTGAACTCATCGACATCCTCCCAAGTGGCCTCATCTGGATGCATGCCAGACCACACAACTAAAATCTCTTTTCTGCCCCTGTTAAGACGACCCCTTAAGACCTCCTTTGGTTGTGGCAGAAGCTTACCGTCGTGCAGATTAGGTAGTGTGGGAGACTGTGCTGGTGGCGTTCCCTTAAATTCCTTTAGTAATGAAATGTGGAAAACATCATGGACTTTACTACCCTCCGGAAGGGCCAACTTATATGCCACTTTTCCAATTTTCTTGACGATCTGGAATGGTCCAAAATACCGTGGAGATAATTTTGCTGATGTCCGTTTGGTTACGCTGAATTGACGATATGGATGTAGGCGAAGCCAAACCCACTGTCCCTCCTTGAACACAACGTCGCGGTGGTTTTTGTCATATGCAAGACGCATTCTGTCTTGAGCACGTATGAGGTGATTCCGAGCAGCGCTCAGGATTGCATCTCTGTCCTTCAAAGCAGCGTCTACTGCTTCTATTCTGGATGATCCTGGTTCGTAGGATATAAGCCTCGGTGGTTCGCGGCCATATACGACCTTGAAGGGAGAAGTACCCAAAGCCGAGTGGAGAGAGGTGTTATAGCAGAACTCAGCCCACGGCAGCCAGTCTACCCACCTGCGTGGGTGATCTCCTACCATACATCTGAGGTACATTTCAAGTGTGCGATTAACAACTTCTGTTTGACCATCCGTTTGTGGGTGATAAGATGAAGAAAATGCCAAGTGTGTGCCACATAACTTAAAGAGTTCCTTCCAGAATAAGCTTGTGAAAACTGCATCTCTGTCGCTGACTATTGTTTCAGGCAGGCCGTGTAACTTAAAAATATTAGAGAAAAAGGAATGAGCCACTGACGCGGCTGTGTAGGGATGTGACAATGCCATAAAGTGAGCGTATTTGGAGAATCGATCAACCACTACATAGATAACAGATTTACCTCCGACCTTGGGTAGCCCGTCAATAAAATCCATTGAAATATCAGCCCATATGTGTTCAGGGATTGGTAGGGGTTGTAGTAAACCTGCTGGGTGCAAGTTTTCCCATTTATTTTTTTGGCAAATAACACAATTGGTGATGAAGTCCTGTACAGAAGATGCCATGCCTTCCCAATAGAATTCTCTTTTAATGCGATGAAGAGTCTTTTGAATCCCTTCATGAGTAGCATTATGAACTGCTGCGAGGATGGTAGGGATATAATTAAAGTCGGTTGGCACATATATTTTGGTCTTGTAATAGACCACACCATCATGGACGGACCAATTAGAATCCCCCCCTTGTGTTGCTGCTTTGTTGATAACAATCTGGCCTTCCTTGGAGTGCTGATAATGCTTCCTTAAATCCTCCATTAACTGGGCATGAACCATAGTAACTGCCATGAGGGTTGCTGGATTTGCATCCCTCCGTGATAGAGCATCTGCCACGCGGTTCAGTTTTCCAGGTTTGTATTCGACTTCAAAATCAAAGCCCAAGAGTTTACTCATCCAATGTTGTTGTGGTGAGGTTGTAAGGCGCTGCTGCAGTAAGTATTTTAGGCTGTAATGATCAGTTCTGATCACGAAAGAGCGGCCCCAAAGGTAGTGCCTCCAGTTTCGTATGGCTTGTACTAAGCCTATCAGTTCACGCTCATATGCCGGTAGCTTAAGGTGGCGGTCTGCGAGCTTCTTGCTGAAGAAGGCAATGGGGTGGTTGTCTTGTTGTAGAACTGCTCCAATACCCACCCCTGATGCATCACACTCAATTAGGAATGGCTTGGAGAAGTTGGGTAATTGCAATACTGGTGAACTGGACAAGGCAGTTTTGAGCTTGTCAAATGATGTTTGAGCTTCGTTGGACCATGAAAATGCATTGCGACGAAGGAGTGAAGTTAAAGGTGCTGCATGCACACCAAAGTTCCTGATAAAACGTCGGTAAAAACCAGCTAGGCCCAGGAATCCGCGAAGAGCAGTGGTTGTGACTGGTATAGGCCAATCAATGATGGCTTGAATTTTTGAATTATCTGCTGCCACCCCATTTCCAGTAATCACATGTCCGAGATAAGCTACCTTTAGCACGCCAAAAACACATTTCTGCCTTTTTAGGAACAATTGATGAGTTTGGAGTAATCCAAACACAATTCTAATGTGTTGTAGATGCTCCACCCAAGTGTGACTGTAGATTAATATGTCATCAAAAAAGACCAAGACAAATTTACGAAGATGGGGCCCGAATACCTCATTCATAAGTGCTTGGAAGGTGGACGGTGCGTTGCACAAGCCAAAGGGCATTACGAGAAATTCAAAATGTCCATGGTGAGTGCGAAATGCTGTTTTTTCAACATCTTCTAGACTCATTCGTATTTGATGGTACCCTGAGCGCAAGTCGAGCTTTGTGAAGAACTGAGATCCGTGAAGTTCGTCTAAGAGCTCATCAATTACCGGAATGGGAAATTTATCCTTAACGGTCTGTGCATTGAGTTCCCGATAATCTACACAAAAGCGCCATGAGTTGTCACTTTTTGTAACCAGGAGTACTGGAGATGAAAACGGGCTTCGACTTGGCTGAATTTGTCCTCTTTTTAGCATCTCCAAACATTGCTTCTCAATTTCATCCTTTTGCAGTTGCGGGTAGCGATACGGTCGTACAACAACAGGATCTGCCCCAGCTTTTAGAATAATTCGGTGATCACAATTGCGTGGCGGAGGCAGTGCCATAGAATCAGAAAAAATGGTGTCAAAGTAATTCAAAAGCTCCTCCATTGCTTGATCATTAGAGATTGCAGGATGCATAGAGTACAAAGTAGTGCCAAATGGAGCTGCATCTCCTGTCCAAGTAACGGTTCGGCCATG